TGTTTTAGAGCTACCTATTTGTCTTTCACAGCGTGTATATTATTATTTTGTATTATTGCATATAATCTCTGAGACCAACAAAAATTTTGAAATCTATTTTGAGAGCCAAATCAAAGTTGCAGTGCGTCACCATTTTCCCACTAGAAGCTTTTTGTCAGTTTGGTGTAATTTGTTTGCAACGTATTTTGTATAGGTATGCACTGTGACTATTTTTTTTTAATTATTATTTTTGTTTATGATAACTGTTCCTTTATTAAGTTCTGCCTTTGATATTAGAATCATGTTAATGAAGAAAATTACATAATAGTACTGTGGTTTCATTGCATTTTGTGGGAATATAATTTGGTTGAAGTAATTTAGTACTACTCATTTTCAAATTATTCTTGTGGTGACAGCTTTTACTTTTTTTCCATGTATCATATTTTTTTTTTTTTTTTTTTTTTATATTCTTTATTTTTGTTCACATCGCATATGCACAAAGTTTAGATTGCATTACAGCGCCATAAGCAGTGGAAACAGTTTAAGCAGGTTGTAGGGTATAATAGCAACCATTAGTGCGTAGCCACTTAGCATCGGGTTGACATATGCGACATGGTTTTTTTTGTTTTTTGTGATGTAACAATTTTTAACTGTCAACTTGAAAATATAGATAAAATAGAGAATAAGAGGAAAATATACATTGCATCCTCTGCTTCCAGGGCGCTATGTGTTGTTAGGTTGTATCGTGAGGAATTGTGTTGTGCTATGTGTGCGCCATGCGCTTAAACAGATGCAGGTGCCAACGTGGCATTGAGGCATTGATAGGGGTAAAAATGGGGGGGGGGGAGTACTTTTGGTGGTACTACGGCTTAGCAAGGTTGCCTACGGAGCCAGAGAAATAATAACAGATCTTAGTAACATATAAAACTTCAGGAGTAAGAAATTATATAACTGTCAATTATGACATGCAGGAAACAAATAGTTCAGTCGGTGTCAAGCTGGGGGGTCCGCCGACCCCGCCAGTGCATATCGCGGGACAAATGGAGGGATGTCTTCTACTGCCCGTGTTCTTCTGTCCCGTGATAGGGCTTCTGCTGAAATTCCCAGTGCTTGGAGGAAGGCAGGTGCATCTTGGAGTTGCGAGAGTGGGAACTTCTTGCCATTTTTCTCTGCCACTAGGTGGTGTGGGCCCCATCTGTACGGGATGTCAGCCTCCCTCAGCAGCTTTGTAGCGGAGCGGAGTGACTGCCTCCATTGCATGGTTGCTCTTGAGAGGTCCTTGTAGAAGGACAGATGCGAGCCTTCAAAAGCCAGTGAGGGAGATACTCTTGTGGTTCCCAGGACTGCGGACTTGTCAGAGTCCCTCTGAAATTGCAGCAGCACGTCCCTGGGTGCCTCTGGGGGTGCCTTGGCTGCCTTGGGCAATCGATGGCATCTGTCAATTACAGCTTGCTTGGCTTGCTTAGGTGTTAGCAGTGTGGCTAGCAATCGCCTTATGTAGTGAGGCAGTTCATCTGGTGAGGTGGATTCAGGTATGCCTCGTATCCTTATATTGCGGGCTTTAGCCCTGTCTTCCAGACCTGCCAGTCGCTGGCTCATTCCGCCACATTTCTTTTGTAGGGTATGGAGCGTAGCCTCTGTGGCTGATTGTGCCAGATGTGTACCTCCTAGTTCTCCTTCCACTGCCTGGACACGGCCGGTCAGCTTAACGACATCCTCTCTTACCACTGCTATGTCAGCTTGAAACATGGCCTTGAGGTCCTGCAATAAGGCTTTAATATTTGCCTTGGTTGAAGGGGCAGCGTCCCCAAGTCCCACATACCGGGATTGTGTGTTCATCGTGGCTGGTATCATGGCAGAGAAATCCTCCTCTGGTGTGTTCTCAGCTTCCGACGAAGCCGTGGAGTAGGCCGCGGTCGGCGCCATCTTGGGCTGCACGGGGTACTGCGACTGTTTGAATAAATTGCCTATATCTCGGCAGCCGATTCCAGGATCCGCTCGCTGCTTTTTGGAGCGGCGCCCCATGTTCCCAGGACCTAGTGAAGCTCGTTTTGGGCTTTGTGTGTGCCCAGTGGGTAGGTACATTCGCCGTTTAATCAGCCGGCGGCTCGGAGCTTGCAGAGGATGCGACCGTCTCGCTTGGGCGCTGGCTCCGCCCCCTCCATGTATCATATTTATTGGAGAAATTAAGAAACTATAGTGGCCTATTTACACTAGAATATGTTTAGTGTGAAGAGGAATTTTTTTTATCAATATTTTCTGTCTAGTGAAGACATACAGTGACTTTTTACATTTTATTTATTTATTCTTTCTCCCACTAACATGCCTAGAGTAGCCTAGTTCATGACACTGGGTTTATATACGGTTTTACCCCAAACTTGCAAAAACTGCTCCGAGGCTTCAGTTAGGAAGCCTTGGACTGGGTGCTACTGATAGACTGAGAGCTTCAGCTGATTGATGTACCACATCTTTAGTTGAAACACCTAAATTTGGACAACTAAGTGCCATTCAGCTACTGTTCAGCACATGTGAATAGGCCATATAAAGTTCAGTTTGTGGCCTCATGAACACCTATCCCAACACCAGTTTAGTGGATATTTTGATAGCTGTAATAAGCCACAAAAGAGTAGAAGACTTCTGGTTGGGTGTAGGCAGGTGGAAATCACTGTTTTTAAACAAAGGATATCTAGCTCTTGCCTGTGGTATAACCAGTAACAAAATATGCTTCAAAACACAGCTTTGAACATATTTCGCAGAGCTTTACAAATCTAGAAAGGGGATATTTAGAGGTTAAGAAAGCCCTGCTGAAACGTGCTTACAATATTTGAAGATTTTAAGGGATTTTTTGTATATCATTGGTTTATAGTATTTATGAATTCAAGGTGTTTACAGTTGTCAACCTTAAAAACAATATACAGTGGCAAGAAAGAGTATGTAAATCCTTTAGAAATGTCTGCGTTTATGTATAAATTTGTGTTAAAGGACCACTATAGTGCCAGGAAAACATACTTGTTTTCCTGGCACTATAGTGCCCTGAGGGTGCCCCAATACTCCATGGGAGTGAGTGTGGGTATATATCTGGTAGACTGCCAAATGAGGCATTGTTTTAAATTGCAGGGTAAAGGGAAAATGGACAGTGCACCCAGAGTAGATGATGTTGTTTAGGTGTCTAAAGTGTTCCAAAAAGATCTGTTGCGAATGTCTTGGTGCCATATACCAGAGGACACATTTAGAGGTCTTGTGGAATCCATGCCTCGACACATTAGAGCTGCTTTGGCAGCACGAGGGGGTCTTACACGATATGAGGCAGGTGGTTTTAATACTGTGATTGATCGGCATATGTTTTATATGTTTTTAATATCTTTTTCTCTTTTGTTGTAAGGTTGATAT